ATTAATAATAACAGTACCATATTCCCAAATTGTTGATTTAATTGGTAGAATAAAATACTGCATTTAAAGAAGTTTTGTTAATTTGATAACAGAAATCAGTGTAAACATCTATATTGTTCCATACGCACCAGTTTGAAGAAGGGCACGATCCAAAGCTGACGATATCTCTCGAAATAATTTTAAATCGTCTGCAAATAAGAGTATCTTTGAACAATATGCCCAAAGATAAAAGCCGTTAATAAAGACATTAATTAATAAAGGCCCACAATGGGTTCCTTGAGAGACACCTGATTTCACAGAAATGGTGTTTGAAGACGAGCTTCCAATTCTAACAACCTGGGACCTATTTGATATGAAACTTTCAATCTACTGGACAAACATCTCATCAAAGATTTTGTGGTTAGCTCTATCAAAGGCTTTCGCCAAGTTCGCATAAATTGTTTACCCTTTTCTAAAATATCAATTAAAAAATTTTGGTACAGAAGCAAATCCGTCTTCAATATCACTTATTCTGTCCTTAGTTCCTATTTTTAACTGTATGGAAATTAAACGATCAAAAAGCTGGGTAAAACCGATTGTAGACAAATACCTCTGTAATTTGAAAGGTAACTGTTTTTCGATAGACCGGGAAATGTTCCATAATGCACAGGTAAGTTGAATAAATAAGTAATCGCTTCAGTTATACAAAAAACACATGGAATTAGAAACTGCGATAAAATTAGGTCAGGACCACTACTGGCTGAATTTTTTAAACTTAAAATGCTGTTGAATATTTCTTCTTTGGTAAACAAATGAAAAGTAAAAGAGACATCACCTGAAATACCTATTCCAGTTGATTTGGCACAATCGATAGTTAATTTCTTCACAATCAACATTTTTAAAATTACGATATACCTCTTCATTGTTGATTCATTTAATAGGGTCTTATGGGCATAAATAGGTGACTTTTCAGGTGATGAATAAAAAAATGATCAGCAGTTACGCTAAATTCATTAACTAGAGTTCTAATTCTAGGATTTCGAAAATCACTTTATTTTTTCGGCAATCTCATCAAACGCATAACAACTCTTGGGTGAATGGCACTCATTTCCAGGCCAGTGGTAGGTATAAGATAATAACAATGTCCATTTATTGTCCAACAGAAATTAATAACATTTATACGACAAATTGTAAACACTAATTCTATGCCGAGGAGTAAACCACGGATAATATCTTGTACACTAAATATCCTTTGATGCAAATATCGTTTCCGATATCATCGAATTTCGAATTGATTGTCTCCGCTTTCCTGAGATTTCTTCGGATCTCCCCATAGTCCAGTAAAATCGGCGTTAAAAAAGGAACAACCTTGCATTTTGGCTAGCTGCGATTTTTTTTATGAGAATTTTCGGAACTAATTTCCGTCAACATCCTGAAAAGAAGAAGAGTACAGGTTTTTTTTATTTATTAGGTCCCTAATCATGAGTATGACAAAAATTTCTAAATGGAATTTTTGTAGATTGTATAATTATTGTCTATAAGTTTTATCGAAAACTTTTTGGCGTAACATTAACAATAAAAAAGTTCTGGGCATAAAAATCGGCAATAGGATGTAGGACCAAATTGATCGGCATCAAACGATCAATAACGCAAGGAAAAAAGAAATTGTTCAAGATTTGCAGCAAATACTTCATGAACATCATGCATTGATTCGGTTGTTAAAAACTGTGTTGGATCATATGCCAAGTGATGACTATAAAGTCGTGATCAGAACAGATAAACGACCCGCTGGAACACACGAACGACAATTCAACGCTCCTACAATAGATGAAGTCGCAATTATTGTTCTAAGATGGTACGAAGGTCGCCGGGTCAGCTAGTGTTTAGTATCTTCTCTATTAGTCTATTAGAACCAATAGTACAAAACTTCTACAATCTTGCACATTCTAAGTTTCAGTGTATATTAATTATCTTATTGTGACCAAATATCAGAAAGCAAGCGAAAAATTAAAAAAATAAAAATTTGGCCTTGTCTGTGATCATCTAACAAAATGGAGCCCTACGTTGTGTTTATTTTTTTTTGTGGTGGATTGCGTTCAGATGCACGTGGTGGACCCCAAGGTTGGAAAAATACCGCTAAATAAAACCCAAAATATATGGAGGACACAAAAGGTTTATTCTTCCATTGACAAAAAGAAAAGAAAAAAAACTACGACTAAGCTGTGTCGGTTGAAGATATCTTAGTGTTCAGCTACAAAAATCAACTTGTCTAATTTTGAATGAAATCAGTTTAAACGTTCTAAATCAATGCAAATCTTTGATTATCACAAATTTAATAAAAACAAAGAAAATATGAATTAAAGTAATTGGATGCAAAAACAGAAGTTATTACGGACGTGTGACGGCAAATTTAAAATTACGACAGTCAATATGCAGCGGGGCACAGCGGCAGCGGCATCAGAGCGCTGTAAGGTGTAGCAATCAAACTATTGCAACTAGAGCACATAAAAAATTACCCATAGGCGGTGTTATAGCACGAGCGGAGTTTGGGGCTCCTGGGTGTGGCTGTTCTCCCATCGGTGATTCTATTCTATTGGCAACCACATGCCACCCAGCACCCCTCTATCAGGAAAAAACGTGCCGCGAGGAAACAGGCCGTTACGATCGCAAACTCGTAATTGGTAATCTGCGTCTTTTGTGCAGATGGCGCGATAAATTCCGCCAGCTCGACTAGGAACCGCGCCCTCCGCTTCTGCCACGTGTTTCTGTGTTGTTTACCTCAATTCCATTTAAAAGTTGAATTTCTATAACTCTGATATTAAACTACAATTGAACAGGTATCATAGTTTGAAAAGGGGCAATAAACAACATTTAAATTCGCCATAAATTCCCGTGAAATATTTACATGGTCAAAGAGACTAGCAAAAATTTATAAACAAAAAAAGATCTGGTGTGAAGTAAAACTTGTGCAGGCAAAAAAAAATACATGAGATTAGGAACTGCAGACCTTGAAAATTTACGTCAATTTAAATTATACAGCAAAGAAAATCACTGAGGCTAAAATTGCGAGATAGAGAACAATTGCATGAGGTGAAAAATTGCAGAACTAACACTTTATCAACGATTCAAACAAAGAATTTACCTGATGTTAAATTATGCCATACATTATCAACTATTTAAACAAAGAATTTACATGATCTTAAATTATGCCATTTTCCAAGTGATTGGTTACTTTTTTTTATATATAATTACTTTCCAACAGGCCGAGAGGCCCAATTATAGGAAAGGGGACATACAAAAACACCCAGAGGCAGAGCGGGAATCGAACCCACGACCCAAGGTGTAGTGGGCAGATGCCAAGCCACCTCACCCACCGGGTCCTCAAGTTACTTAAGGCAATTAGCTTGAAAGTTTATATCGTGAACTGTCTGGAGCTTATCCTAAACAAAACACATGAGGTTATGATGATAACGATGATAACTGCCTAAGGGGAAATATTTAGTACCCCGTACCTCAGTCCACGATATTATGCATTCTACCGCACTTTAAGAGTCCTTTTCCCAGACTGGGACAACGTTAGATTGATTTGACCGCCGCAAATGAACTATTAGCAATCTCGTGTAAGGAATTAAGAAGTGTTACAACGAAAAACTTAAGTACAAGCATTTAGAAACCTTATTCGTAACTTGATAAACAAAGGATAAGTCCTGACTAACTGAATTTCATAAAATCTCCTAGCAAGTGCTTTATCTAAATAAACTCCCGACTGCTAAATTGTGTTAGAACCAGTTAACGATTAAAATCCTGGCATGAACTGTGAATTTACAAATAATAAAACAAATTTACGAGTACACTACGTGTTGGCGTCGGTTGACAATTGGCACACTTCCGCTTGGAAAAACCGCAAGAATTAGCTACGCGTGTTAAGGAAACTGCGGCGTCGTCGTCGTTACGTTTAATTTTCGTTAGAGAAAGGCTAGCTTCGTTACCTTTGTTGTAAAAATATATAACGCTAAAAAAGCAGAACAAGCTCTTTCTGTATTGTAAGGAATAAGCATTAATATATATTAATATTATATGAAGATAAACAAGCTACGTAGGTACATAGATAGCTCTTTATTCATGTTGTTATGTATTGTAACGATTTTTAAATCTAAGCGCGCTCGGTGAGCAAGGTCGCGGAAGAGTGGGCTCGGTTTTTACGGGCGGCGAGAAAAAGAGGAGGTGAAGAGCGTTTTTTGAGCGAAATGAATTGCTGTGAAAATCGAGATTTTGGCAAAGTAAGGAACCAAGAACAGCTAGGCGAGTCCCTATTTGGCCTAGAATATTTAAATAGAAGGAGGAACTAGGTTCTTTGTACGGGTGCCGTCGATTCGTGGTTGGTTGCCGTCTCCATCGTCACTGTCCCATACCCATCGATTAGTGGTTGGTTGCCGTCTCCGTCGTCACTGTCCCATACCCATCGATTCGTGGTTGGTTGCCGTCTCCGTCGTCACTGTCCCATACCCATCGATTCGTGGTTGGTTGCCGTCTCCATCGTTGCTGTCCCATACTGTGGTAACATCTCCTAGGGGAGCTTTGAACATAAGAGGATCGCTCCGAAGTGCTTCACCAGGAAAGAGCTTACGTAAAGTTGCGGAAAGTACTTAGCATGTAAGATCGTAGAGGTGGTACCATTTCGCGAAGGGCGTTTATTAATATAAAGTTACCGAAAATTAGTCTGTTGTCCGTTCATCCCCTTCCTTGTTGGGTTAACTACCCAGCTGGCGCCCAAAGGACCCCCCAATATAAAAAAAAGGCCGGAGACCGTCAAAATCGCCACAGTATCGTATTTACTTAATTCAGGTAAAAGAAAAAAAGCAGATATATGAAGGAAGTTTATGGTAATTTTAGTAAAAACGAAACACAAATACAGATCCATTTTAATTACACTATCGGTATTGTTCAATTTTTAATTTTTTTTATTTTTTACAAATCTTTTGTTGCACATTTGGATAATTTGAAAATATTTTACTCCTATTTCAGTGCAAAACGGCTTTGACGGTAACTCTTTCGGTGAACATAAAAACTGAAATATATTGGAGCCTGATATGATCCAACTAAAAAGAATATTTCTTGTTATTAAAAAACATACACGATAGCAAGTATTTAATTTGTTCACTAAAATAGTTGTGCTACGTTTAAGATTCTACAGACTCTAATAGATCCTTGGTTAGACTGTCCCATTCTTTGCGGTGTTCAAATGTTAAGTGTTATTTACGTTAAAACTTTGGACAGAACATTTTTCCATCAAAAATGTTTGTTGTAAGTACGGTAATAACTACTTAATAGGAGTATAATTTAGCCAAGTCCTTGTTCGATTCGTCTATTGTTTCATCAATTCATCATAAAACTGTCGTAAACACATCAAATTTTATACATCAATAATTCAGTAAGCAAAGCAGAGAATAAGACATTTTAGTCGCCTAAAAAAATTTAATTAGTCTTTTATAAATCTCTTTGTTCATCTTTACCGAAACAAGTAGTGAAAACGAAAGGAAACTAAAGGGTCCAGCCGTGAGAGAAAAAATGTCTTGACTTCTTTTTAACATCATTAAAAGGTCTTTCTGCAGTCTAATATCCGCCTCATACCACTTTGAAAACCATATTGATACAGAGATTGACTCACTCTAGAAACAATGTAACAGAAAACAATTCGTATTTGTGTGTAACTTACAGCGTCCATTAGAATTTGTCCAGACCAACAGGCCAATACTAAAATCATAGCCCAGCAACAAAAATGTACTACAGCGCAAAAATGGTCACCCTAGAAAAAAAATAGGTATATAACAGCACAATAGTAAGATTAGCGTTAATTATTACTTCTACAAATTGTTTTTCAATGCAAGCACAAATAATTGCGGTAATGCAAGTGTGCATAAACATTGAGCTTGAGAAACATTCATTGACTGCTTCGGCCATCCTAAAAGAAGCCTTTTATTATATAGGATATTCTAGGTTAAAGGGAACACCTGATTATGTCTCCGTGGTAAACAATGCAATTATTTAATCTTCTTCGTGCAGTTTCGTAATTCGTATTGATGAAAATTTCATTAATCATTTGGTTAAGTTGTTTGATTCTTAAAATCAAATGTGTTGTTATCTCAAACTCAGCATAAGTTGCCAGTGCCGTAGGTTTCATTAGTAACTGAACACATAAGATAATGCACGCATGAAACACATAATAAACAACTTGATTTTTTGTACTAAAGGGCGTCCAAATTGGTGTGATAAAACCACAATTTTCATTCAAACCTTCGTTAAGATTTTTAACTTCACACTCTTCTCGTCGTCCGAATTTTATTATGTCATATATAAGACAAATATATGAAAAAGGACGTTGAAAAAAAATTTAAAGTTTTATCCTCCTGGTCGAAATTTGGTGGTTTTCCAAATTTTTCGAAATTTGACATTTCCAAGAGAAGCTTTGCTACTTTCGGTTGATTTTTTGTAAATGTAAAAGCTACGTAATATACACCAACTGCCGATATTAAAGCGCTAAAGTCGTCTACCACCGACACGTTGAGATTTTCTAAAAATATTTCTTGTTATGAAAGCTTTCGGTGTATTTTTTTATTTATACTTGTCGTTGTGACAACAAGATGAATTAGCACACCTACGGGCCAAATTGATGTTATTAGAACATACATCACGAATCTGATGTTGAAAAAGCTGCTTGGTTTAAGTTCCTCACTAGCACTTGGCCACAGTAAAATGTATCTTAGATTTCTTCTTGTCGAACGACATATGGTAATTTGAGTCCCCGTAGCTGCCATAATGTTTAACTGAAACAATAATGAATAAAAATGAGATGTGTTGGCTTATCAAAAATATTTGAAACTTCTTCAGAACAAAAGTACTTAATGGAAAATTCTGAAATAATAATTTAACAAAGAAATTGGAAAGCATAGAAGACACAAGGGTACAGTTTAGCCTCAACTGAAGTGAAAAAACAATTTCATATGACGTGAAGATTCGGATGTAATACGCGATAATACGAACCAAGGCCAGAGAAATAATCAATTCAATTTTTAAATATTAAGACGATTTTCTGTATTACATAACATACATTTTCCACTATGTTGGGAAATATACACAAACACAAGTATTCAGCAACAAATTTTTTCTTTCTCTGAAAATATTTGTAAAAATTGGTTTCTTCATAATCAATTAGAAAATTTCTTTTGCATATTTAAGGCATGCACCGATTTTAATTTTTAATAAGTTAATTGTCACGATTATTTCCAGCTAAGGTAAAATTAATTAATCAATAACTCAGACACGCCCACCTAAATAAGGGATAAGAGTTTTATGTTTAAATAAAAAATATACTTTTTCATCTCTTACTTAAGAGAAGTTTTTCACGATTCAAAAGGATTAAGTACTAATGCCGGTTATAACTGCTTTTGGCACAAAATTTCAGATGAACAGTTTCGCTATTTGTGATGCAACATAATAGCAGATTTAATTTTTAGTATCTTGTATAACAACATTAAAACTGATTTATAATACTGTGCACTTCTAAATGTTTTATTTTCAGCAATATTATAATTATAATTGAGTGAAACAGGTACGTTTAAGAATTATAAACAAGAGTTTGAATCTTTTCTAAGGTTACAAAACTTCAAAAAGTATAAAAATATTTTAACATTTGTCAGTTTTTTGTCTTCATTAAAAAAAAGACTAGATTACGTGATAATTTATTCTGTTTTCAATACTACCAAACCCAAATTTCTTATATTACAAAAGTTTTTCTCAACAGATGGCAACAAATCACTAAACTAAACAAATCAAAAATGAAGGATATGTTTCATCTTTCTTGTTTTTGTCAAATTGTAAGATTTATAAAGCTGATTTTAAGGGAGCAGAGGAAACTTTGTATGTAATTGTATACTTAATTGTGCTTTGTTTTTAGCTTTCCATGGCGAAAAACAAACTTATCAAGAATTATAACACTTTCCTTAAATAATATGTGGTTTCCCTGAATATTAATAGCTAAAAAAGGGTGAGTATTATAATAACTGGACCTTGACGTAATTACGTAATCTGCAATAATCCCAGCCCACACATTTATGGAATAAACATTTTGAAAATAAGGTGTTCTGATCCACTGTGGATTATTTTGGGAGTAATAGTGACAGTTGTGCCGATTAACAACCCTGTTATTGCCAAATCTTGCTTCATCGTAGAACAAAACTTTGATTAAAAATTGTTGTCCAACTCTAGTTGATGTTGCATAAAATTGCAAAATTGTATTCTTCTGGGAAAGTCTTTTTCTTTTAGATCTTGTACTAATGTCACATGGTAAGGGTAGAACTTATTCGCTCTCAAAATTTTTGGAACGGAAGATTGAGATACTCCTACCTGTCGTGCTATAAATTTTTGGGTCATTGTCTACGGCTTCAATTAAACGAATTTCATTTTCGATACTAGTAGCGGTGAGTCCTCTATTTCTTGTTTCTTTCGGCCAATTTTGTCTTAACATTTTTTCTAAACATCTAAACATTTGGTCGGATGGATGTCGCCTATCGGGATATCTTCTTTTGTAAAGATTTGCTGCTGCAACAGCATTTTTCCGTATTCTCCAAAAATCAAGATCATATCAATCTTTTTATCGTTCGTGTATTTAACCCACATCTTATCGCGAAGACTAAAAACTTATCGGATCTCAAAATTGACAAATAGAATTAAGACGAAAGTCAAAATTGACTACTATGTAACTATGTTTGTACATTTTAGAAAAATAAAATATAAAAAGAGTTACATATGAGATATGTATGTACTTTGTGTTGCATTGAATTTTTTTTATATTTTTTTTACTTACGGTTCGTCCATACACTATCAATATTTCTCTAAAATATAACTTTGATATATAAGTTAAGTACTGGTCGTTATCGAAAGTATTGCACAGCTTACATGGTTGTTAGGAAGTGAAAATAAAATTCGACCAACTTAATGAAACATGGTAAATGTTAATGTTACTAATTACTTATTATTATTTTTTAGTATTGTTTTAATTATATGGAAATAAACTCAATTAAAGTACATTATTAGAAAATGCTTGTATAACGTTAAGGCTAGGTTGCATCCGGTATCGTCTAACTATATACGTTAACAACAGACAATGAGGTAATGTAAAAATATTTTAGTCAAAACGTTATGCAAAAATTCCGTAATTAAAAAAATATCCCCAAAAAAATTTTCCATACCTGTTTTCTCAGTAAGTTTGATTTGCGAAAGGTAAGTTTTACTATGCCTACACACTATCGCTGTTTCTAATAATCTACAAATTGTCACAAAATTCGTCAAAAGGTTTCAGCTATTTCAGAGACAATAATGTATTTTCTCTATGCAGATCTTAAAGATATAATATCTCCTGTGGATCGATAGTGGATCTTGCCTGCGCATTGAAATTGAAATTTATGAAACAATTTCTTATTTATTTATGACATCACTGTTCGACAAGTTCAAATATTAATTGAATTTTTAATTAATTCTTACATTCGTTGTTCCACTAACCGAATAGCCGTGGTCGCAGAGAGTTACAAAAATCTACAATTACTTCAAGTTTGCTACGAATAAAACGGAACATTCTTTAAGTAAATAAAGCAAATTTAAATATCGTTTAAGGTGAGTAGTAAAGCAAGACTTGAACAACGTCGGGGCTTTTTGTAGCGCGTGACGTCATAAATTACTTAGTGTTAAACACTGAAAACCGGAATTCTCGATAATGGTTGATGCCAAATTTGTGTCTTTTCTATAAAGAATTTTTAATTGGGAGCAAGTTACACTTTTGCCTGTTTTAACAGAACGTTTGAGGTACTTATTTTTACTTTGAGCAATTTAACAATCTTGGAATTACAAGACAATGGGTAAGTTTACGAATTATAAACAATTTCGTGAATATTTTTAGAAGACAGCAAAAGCGATGAACAAGGTGATATAGACAGATATTTCCTTGCCCCTGAAGTACAATGGAATAAATTAAATTTCTTAAAAAATTAATAAAAGTTGATTTATTTATTGTTTTATTTTAATAACAAGGTATGTTAAACCTCAGATGAAGAACTACGCTTCAAATGAACAAATCAATCCAGTGGTTTCGGAAACCATCTGTCTAAAAAAATGGTTAACAAATCACAGGAGAAACAGGTGAAAGACAAATGGAAACTGGAGATCTATTTTTTCGTTGTCTAGGGATTTTCAAACGCTGAGAAAATATGGGAATAGCCCTTTACCGGGATATATTACTTAGGCTCGGGAAGTAGGAACAGGAAATTGCTTTACATTTCGGCTTAATTTATACTGTTTTAAAAATCAAAGTCAAAAAAAAAAATGACAAAAAACGGCAAATAACAGACTTCCAAATATTTTATCTATCCTTGGGTGTTCTGGTTACTTACTGTTCATCACGTTAATTTTATCAAATTGTTTGGGACAGTAACATGGTAAAAAACATTACTTGTTAACTCTTTTGTTAAACAAGTATGAGCAGAGTGTAACAGCAGAAAATACTGGGGATTAATTATTTAGGCAGTTTTTTAAACATCTGGGCGGTTACATTGGGCAGTGAATAATTTACATGGCCAGTTTTAATTTTTTTAGGCAGTAATTAAATAAATGTGGCAATAAAACTTGACCAGTATTATAAAAGAATTTGATTAGTTATTTAGTCCTACATAGGCAGTGCAATTATTATTATTTGAGCGGTAAAATGATTGAATGGGCGGTAAAAGTTACATCTTATTTTGGTTGAAAAGAGCGGTACAGGTGCGTTAGGATAGGCGGAGCTTACGCGACAGTCTTGGTGCACCGACATTGATTGCATTGGTAACAGTGATCCACCTGAAAGTGCCGAAAAATTGTGCAAAAAATGTAAAATGAAAGTTATAGATGCTTACATCAAGTGTTCTAAGTGTGAGGAGCTTTATCATAAAAGTTGCCATCGTCAGTTAATTGCAAGAGGAAAAAAGATGATAACAATAAATGACAACATTATGTTATGTGAAGAGCACTGTAGGAAAATACATAGTATAGTAGAAACTTTTCATAATGCCCTAAAGGGATCAAAGAATGAAATCATCGCTCTCAAGTCTAAAAATGTTGAAACCATCCAAACCAATAATGACATAAAAAATGAATTGGAATTACTGCAATTACAGTACACCAGATTAGAATCATCCAGTGAAAGGAAAATTAAAATATTGATGGACGAAGTTGCTGCTCTAAAGTTGGAAAATGACAGTTACAGAAGTGGTAACTGTGAATTAAATAAAAATTTTGAGCTAGCACAAGCACGTATAGAGGATCCAAAAAATAAGGTAGCCATGGAAAATACTATGACACTATTAAAAGAAGAGCTCAGCATAAATATTTTATCTCTCAAAAAAGAACTGAATAGCAGTATAAATAATAAGTTCATTGAACTCCAATAAAATTTAATATTCCAATCTAAAGATAATAAGGAATCCATGATTCAGACTCCAGGCAAATCATATAGTGAAATCGCTAAAAGATCTGAAGATGTGATCATATTAAAACCGAAAGAAACACTGGAATCCGCGCAATCAGTTGAACTAATAAAAAATATATATATATATATTAAGCCCAATGAAGTAGAAGTTGGCATTACTAACATACGGTACCTGAAAGAAGGCGGTATTGCTATTGGATGCAATACTACAGAACAGATGATCAAGTTGGAAGCGGAAGTAAAAGCTAAATTAGGTAATAACTTTATTGTCAAAAAATCGATATTACAAAACCCTAAAATTAAAATAGTTGGGCTAGGGGAATAACTGAATGAAGAAGAACTTAAGACATGTCTAATGAAACAAAATTCGATACTTAAAGATATTAGTGGAACTTTCAAATTGATTACATGTAAACGGATGAGAAAAAAATATCTAGCTGTTATTGGAGTAGATCCAAAAAGCTTTTCGGAAATAATGAGGCTAAAAACTGCATTCATTCAATGGTGCGAATGTGTTATCTATGAGCACATTAGCATGTACAGATGTTTTAAATGTGGAGGGTAAATTCATTACGTCTGAAAAATGTACTGAAATTCCACCAAAATGTTTAAACTGTGAAGGAGATGACCACACTGAAACAGATTGCATAAATGACTCAATTTACGTTAACTGTTTAAAAGTGAACAAAAATCAAAAATTAAATCTCAAAGTTAATCACTCCCGATTTGATTACGATTGTGAAGTGTACAAGCGATTATGCGAAATAAGCAAGAGCAAGACGAGATATTCTATATAGTAATCAAATGATAAAAAGGAAACAGGAGACCTTAAATTACTGTTTATAAATGTTCAGTGTCTACGAAATAAAGTCAACATTCTAGATGCAAGTTTGATCGACCATAATTTTAGTGGAGTAGGCATGTGTGAACATTGGCTCAAGGAAGAGGAGGCTACAACTATCAAATTGGACAATTATATCACAGTGAACTTACTTTGCTACAGTGCGACATGTTCATGGTGGTGTAATTCAAGTTCTTAATCCGAATATTGAATATAAAACACTCTCCCATATTAAAAAATTATCGGTAGAACTGCAATGTGAAATAACAGGTTCGTTTTTACCCAAATTTGATTTATTCTTTATTGTAATCTACAGAACACCTTCCGGGGATATAAATTTGTTTCTAGAGTTAATGACTAAACTACTTAACGAGTTAGATTATAACACCAAACATATAGTAGTTGGTGGCGACTTTAATGTGCATTTAGAAAAGCTAGTGACTTATCTACTCAATTATTGATAGATTTATTTTCTAGTTTTAATATGTATAACTTAGTTAATTTTCCTACACATGGTAATGCCTGTATTGATCATGTATTTACTAATATAGCATCACATTCAATTTTCGCAACTCCAACAGAATTTAATATTGCGGATCATCGGTGAGTTGTCGTTGACATACGAAATATTTTAGCCAATAATAACACATGTTCTTAAAATAATTAAGATATTGAGACCTGTTACAAATATTGGTAAATTTTATTATTTTCAGCATCTTATTAATTTCGACTGGACCTTTATAGATATAGATTTAGATGTACAGCTCAAGTTTAAACAATTTTGATGTATAATAATACATTACTATAATTTATCTTTTCCTTTAAAAAAAAGTTATTAACAAGAAGAGTTCTAATGCCCTATGTGACAGATAGTTTAATTCTAAATTAAGAGAAATTAGAGAAACTTTGAAATTTATAACTGACGCTTATCATCTACATAGAACATTGGAACTAAAAATTTTACTTAACCAGTTTAAAAGAAAATATAACTTAACCATTAGAGAAGCAAACGTAAAAGCTAACGATAAATTCATTGAAGCTAATAAAGCTAATCCGAGAATCCTATGGAAAGTAATA